GGGTTTAGGGGGTTTAGGGTTTATTACCACCTGCGAAGCGCTTGCGATCATGATCTGTGAAGTGTACCCATCCTCTCAGAAATACAGGCCGGCGGGACTGCAGCGGCACCCGTGTTCACGGACGGGTCGTCGATCAGTTCGGAGAGCCGCTCAGGCAGGAACTGTCTAACAGCATGTGAGGGGAGGCCAGAGAAAAAAGCTCGTGCAAGAGGCCGGGCTTCTGCAAGGCAATCCTCCTGCGCTAGTCTTGTTCAGGCGACCCGGCTTCCAGCGCAGGTGCAGCGAGCATTCCGCTGGAAACAGACGCTTACCGTGCAGCCAGCTTGAAGTCTTGAAGTGAGCCCCAAGTCTGAAGAGTTACCCTTATAGTACTCCCAACAGCACCCTTATACTGACCGTACAGTGACCCCAAATAGTAGCCCTGTGGTAACCCTAACTATGCCTGCGAGCTCACAACCTCGAGGGGTCACAAAACGAAGCGATCACTTCCAGTCAAGCCTGCTCTCAATGGGCGCCACAAGAATAGACTAGAAAGTGGTGTGGCGTAGAAGGAGCCGGGCATGATTTTCCAACTTTTTGACTGTCACTCGTGTAGAGCCTAGAGTGCAGTGCACCAAGGTCGTCGTAGCAGGCTCGGACACTGCCAGATGTTGCCTGCACCGTGCAATTCCATGCTACTCTGCTCACATGGGGGTTTCCGAAAGTAGGGGACCCAAATAAAGCATTCTAAATAGTAGGATCCTTCTTCTAAGGACCCCAAAACAGGGTACCCTGATTTCCGGAAACTCCCACGACATCTCAGTTCCCAGCCCTTGGAGCGGACGTGCCGAGGAAGTTCACGCCGGAGGGCCCGGCGAGGCAGAGCCGCTTGAAACAGGACGGGACGGCTCTGCGATGCCCTTGTTATGAAAGTTTAGGGTTTAGGGGTCTAGGGTTTAGGGTTCCACCCTAAACCCTAAACCACAGGGTATGGGGGGAAATTTGGTTTTAGGGTTTAGGGTTTAGCGTACTATAGTGATAATAAGGAAGCCCCCAAACCCTATTCTAATTATTATGGCTCCTACATCACCCCAGTAATTCCTGGCCTGAGTTGCTGAACGGTCGAGGTGAGGCGGCATCCAGCGCGGATGCAGGAAGCCTGCCGGAAGCAGATGCTTGGCGAACAGCTCCCTAAACCCTTGAAGCCCAAGCTTCAGGACCCTAAACCCTTAAACCCCAAACCCCTAAACCCTTAAACCCCAAATCCTTAAACCGCTAAGCCCTTAACCCCTCAGCCCTAAACCCCCAAACCCTTAACCCCCAAATCCCTAAACCCTTAAACCCCGAGCACTTAAACCCAAAACCCTGAACCCCAAACCCCTGAACCCTGAAACCCAACAAACTCGACATAAGCCGTAAAGTTCGCAGAGCTGGCTTTGTTGTCGCGAGCATGCCACCCCTTGCACTTTGGCAAGCGGCATATACCATCATATACATATTACATCTGTAGAAAAAAAAATATATATATATA